TGCAAGACATGCCGTTATATTATCTTCTACTTATATCTATCTAGTATATTTGCTGAAATTATCAGCCGGAAAAGGATGTCTCATGCACTTTACCATTATAGCACTTATATACCCTACTTTAATTTTTTTCACCCTCAGTCTAACACAAGGTGTTAGTTGCATCAAAGCTGGATATGGGGTATAGAGGGTTAATTTCCTTTGTATGCCATGCAACAGGTAGGAAATTTGTCGTCGCTGACCAAAAAATCGCGGGCAGAAACAAAGCTCATTGCATTTTAATACATTCAAAACAAAGCAAAAAGTTAGCAAGAAGCTGTTTTAGCTGACGATTTTTCCCTTTCCATTCAACGATTTACAAATTAACGGTTATTCTTTTGAAAGTCGACTATGAATTCTTTGTTTTGGGATGATTTGTTTTGTAATCGAATGATTGGAAGAAGTTAATATGGCGACGTGAACATGGGAGTAAATACCGTGTACGTCGATCTGTATAGCTTGTTTAAAACCGTAATGAACGAAGACAGACGTGATATGAGAATGAAATGTAAGTTGAAATTAACTTTATATGCTTCAAATTTTCCATCATATGTTTCTTAATGTAAGTTCAGCTGTCTAAGTTCAAAATACAAGCTCGCGAAATTTGACAAATTTTGAAAATATGTAAAAATAGCTTGACTTTGAAGTGTATTTTCTCAAAAATGGCCCGTGGCCTCAATTTCAAATATAACTAAATGAAAAGAAAAAACTTTTCGGCGTTTGTAGGTATCAAACAAATCGTCAGGAAAATAGGGGCTCACAATGTTTTAGCTGAGTCTTTGAGACCTAGTTGCTTCGCAAGTGTTGTGGTCAAATTTTTGCCAAGAATCAAAGACCGAAATGTGAACTTCCTTCATGAAAAATGCTTCGAGAAGGGTCTAGTTTGAAAATTTAGCTATTAATTTCGATTTCATGAGCATATTTTGGTTACACGTTAAATATTTTTGTACTTGATGAGATTCAAAATTTGTTGTATATTCAAGCCCGGCTTTAGTTTTGGTGATGACCGGAACAGAAATAAAGATATTTTAAAAACTGGCCGTGGCCTCACGATAAAACTTTCTAAAAATGTTCTCTGTTTGATGTATTTTTATTTGATATCTTAGGTATAAGCGTAAAAATAGGGGCTCATACAGTTTACGAGGTTGTAAAATGCACGACTTGCCTCTATTTTCATGTAAACATTCGAAATTTTTCGACAGCAAAGTAGCAACTATTTCAGATCGAATGCACACGGACAGCCCACCAGAAACAATGGCAGGGTACTGAAATAGAACGTCACTAAAAAATTCTGTATTACTAATTTAGATCATGTCCATTTTCAACATAAAACAGTCATTTATTTTGTACAAACATTTGGCAATATTTACACGTCGATTGTGCCTTTTTGTAAACACGCGTTGCGTGTATTCCACGTAATTGCGTGGCTCATTTTGCTCGCGCATGCTCAGACAAATTTCCCACCTGTTATGCCATGCTTGAAGTTTTTAATGCTGGGTGGGTCGGTTAATAGGTAAAATGTCAATTTGATCAATTTGTTGTGTGGCAACTTGATTATGGAAGTGCCCTAACTGGAAACAGTCAAAGTCCTTTGTTTGCTTGTTCAAAGTTTATATATATATATATATATATTATATATATTTATACATATATTATATATATATATATTTGGGTGCGATGGTGGAAAAGATATGTAGATGATAGCAACGCCTGTGTAAAACAATCGGACATTTCAATATTTCACAATCATCTAAATACTATCAACCCACATATACAATTTACTCTTGAAATGCCTGTTGTTACAGAGAATCAGCAAACCATAGCGTTCCTGGATACCGAAATTATAACCACGACATCTGGTGATGTTAATGTTAGCGTATATCGAAAAAGTTCTCACACGGACAAATATTTGTTATATAATTCACATAACCATGTGAATGACAAGAAAGCTGTAGTAAAAACATTATTAGATCGCGCAAAAACTATCCCAACGAATTCCGTATTGCAAGCCCAAGAGACTGAAAATGTGATTGAAACATTAAAATTAAATGGCTATCAAAAGCGTTTCATTGAGAAAGTTGTTGCGAACAACCATCAGACTAGCACAAATGCTGAGTATGAAATACGTGGATCGACATGCCTTCCTTATGTTAACGGAGTTTCAGAAAAAGTAAAAAGTATTTTAACCAATGCAGGAGTTCGGGTCGCGTTAAAACCAGTACTAACTTTAGGGAATATTTTTCGCAAGCCCAAAGCAAGACCGTCAGAAGACAGAACAAAAGCTATTGTATACAAATACAAATGCAGAGAATGTCCATTTACATATATCGGTGAATCAAAGAGATGTTGGGCGACAAGGTGGTTAGAACACAAACCGGGAGTTAGAAAGATAATTTTTTCGACAATAAAGGAACACGCTGAATGCACTGGTCACAACGCTGCAAAATCAGACGCTGTAATATTAGAAAAGGGAGTTAAGAACTACGAACAAAGGATTTTCTTAGAGGCTTTACATTCCACTCTTAGTGAAAACACGGCTAATGAACATACTGAATTTCCGGCTTGTTATTCTATATTAGCAGATGAAATCAAGCGGAACGATAAACATTATAAATAGAGGTGTAATGACTCTTGCCATATACTCTGATGAAGGCTTGCAGCTCGCAGCCGAAAATTTAGTTTTAATTTTACTAGTTTTTATTTTAAATAAAATGTTTTTAACCAGATCAGCTACAAACCTTAGAAAAGTTATCATATATATATATATATATATATATATATATATATATATATATATATATATATATATATATATATATATATATATATATATATATATATATATATATATGTATATATAATTATATATATATATATATATATATATATATCTTTATGAATACATTTATCTATACCACCTGCATGATCTGCTTAATAATATATGTAACAACCTTTGGGCTGCATTTTATATATCTTTAGAGACAACCCGGCAAGTCACGACAAGAGTGAAATTACCCATTTCACTCCGAAGTGCCCAATTTTCAGCAGGTTGTTAATATTTAAATGTTTCTATATCTTGCCTAATGTTGAACAATTTTATTTGCCAAGGAAAGTGTCCAGCTAGACTCATGATGTTTCATGCCTATGATGTTTCATGCTGACATATTTAGATGTAATTTTCCTTAACACTCCCTTTTTAATTTCTGCACACAATATTTAACTGTGTGATCTCAAGCTAGACAATTTTGCTTATCGACTGTGGTCTGCTTGCCCATTTTTCACCTTTTAATACTGACAATTAAGCTGACATGTATTGGCAATAACTGCTTGATCTGCAAGATGCTTGGTGGAATGGGTCTAACTGCTAGTAGACTACTAGACTGCTCATCCTGCAATTGATTTGAAACCCAATCGT